CTCTCAGTTTTTCCTGCCTCACATCAGCTCATCCTATTAGCTCTCGTTTTCCACACTTTAGTGGGATGAAGCAGCCTTCAGCAGCACTTAACCTGCCCGTGCAGAGTTACATTTGATTTATTTGGAAAGAAAAACATCCAAACTGTCTTCAGGTCAACTTTTCCTCTCATATGTTTAGTCCCAAATTGAATTGCCCATAAATTACTGAATGACGCTGATTCTGAGCTGCCAGCTGAAAAGAACAGATTTCTCATCTTTAATCTGCACTGGCTGATAGTTTGGAACAAAACCAAACTATTTGACTCAGCAATCAGCTGCTTTTATTGACTTTTTATTATTATTTTTACATGAAACAGTCTAAAATTATACATTGTAAATTCAAATGCCTTATGTGTAAGATTTATGTGACAGTGTTATTTTTAATGTCAGAAATACTCTGAGATAAAATCTAAACATCCAGCTTCTTTAAACTTTGTTATGCAGCTCAACAGACAAAAAATTAGGCTTTCAAATTACAGTTTAAATATAAAAATTAATATATCCATTAAGATTTCACCTCATAGTTCTTCTTGTCTTTTCCTCAGCTACAGGCAAGAAGCGTTGCTCCAAGACAAGTTTGAGACAATTCACTTTTGGCATTAAAGCAAATTTAATGGAATCAGAATTAAAAGGAAGACCTCACTGTCTCGTTTAACAAAAGGCAAAAATTATTTCTAAGAACTCCGAAATGCAATTAGCTAATAAGGTTTTTACATTTTCATATCAGAAATCTGATCAAAGCAAAACGATGAAACGTCTGCAGCAATTTAAAACGTGAGCCAACCTTTATATAATGCACATAATTAGCATAGACCTGTGCTTGGAAGTGAATTATTTCATAGTCTGGATGATAATAACCATGACATAAGCAGCACTGAAGAATTTCTTTTCTCTCTCTGCACAACTTGTTAGCAGGAGACCTTGATGAAGTGTAACAGTCTGTACTGAGCAGCTTCAAGGCTAAGAACGAGTTTCTAACATTGTGCTCTGAACAAAAATCAAGAAATAACTTCTATTTTTGAAAAAATAATAATAATTTTTAAATAAACATATCTAGAGCTCCCTCTTCTGGTGATAATTCTGTAATACAGCAGGGCTTATGCACCTTCATAAACTTAATATGGAGATATTTGTTTGTAGCTCATTAATGTAAATTACAGGGAATTAATGTAAAGTACTCATTAATGTAACGTACAGGGAATTAATGTAAAGTGATGCAAAGTACTCATTAATGCTCATTAATGTAACGTACCAGGGAATTAATGTAAAGTACTCAATAATGTAAAGTACCAGGGAATTCACGCTCGAGTTTTAAATATTAAGTTGATGTTTTCTCATTTTATACACAACTCTTCAAGTAACACAAAAAAACTCACTGTAAAGAGTTTTGTAAATTACAAAAATAAATTCCCAAAGGAGTATTTAGCAGTAATTCTTCAAAACTTTCTGGAATGATTTAGCCAACTTTGACACTTTCTCCTCTTTGTAAGTTTCTCATTGAACTTGACATTAAAGTTCGACCCGCCTGGTTGTCCTTAAAGTACAACTTTTTGACTTTTCCTGGGTTCAGCTCCAGACTCTGGTAATATCCATCCATTGTCATTACCAGCTTCTTCCTTTTCAGGTCGCAGTCACGCCAGCCTCCGCCTTCATTTGCCCCACTCTAGACCCTTAACCTCCACCATCTGCTCCCCCGGGCGCCCTAGATGGCAGCTCTCTGCTCCACAGAGAGGGCTGTGGTAGCTCTAAGGTTGCGTCAGGAAAAAGGGCATCCGGTGTAAAAAAAAAAATTCCGAATCTTTCTGCAAGTTAAGTTTGCTGTAGTGACCCCTGAAGAAGGGAGCAGCCGAAAGAAAAAACAATAATAATAATTTACAAACCAGATTCCAAAAAAGTTGGGACACTAAACAAATTGTGAATAAAAACTGAATGCAATGATGTGGAGATGGCAAATGTCAATATTTTATTCGTAATATAACACAGATGACAGATCAAAAGTTTAATCTGAGTAAATGTAACATTTTAAAGGAAAAATATGTTGATTCAAAATTTCACAGCGTCAACAAATCCCAAAAAAGTTGGGACAAGTAGCAATAAGTGGCTGGAAAAAGGAAATTGAGCATATAACGAACAGCTGGAAGACCAATTAACACTAATTAGGTCAACTGACAACATGATTGGGTATAAAAAGAGCTTCTCAGAGTGTCAGTGTCTCTCAGAAGCCAAGATGGTCAGAGGATCACCGATTCCACCATTGTTGCGCAGAAAGATAATGCAGCAATACCAGAATGGTGTTACCCAGCGTAAAATAGCAAAGACTTTTAAGTTATCATCATCAACCGTGCATAACATCATCAAAAGATTCAGAGAATCTGGAACAATCGCTGTGCGTAAGGGTCAAGGCCATAAAACTCTACTGGATGTTCGTGATCTCCGGGCGCTTAAACGTCACTGCACCTCAAACAGGAATGCCACTGTCAAGGAAATAACAGAATGGGCTCAGGAATACTTCCAGAAAGCATTGTCAGTGAACACAATCCACCGTGCCATCCGCCGTTGCAAGCTGAAACTCTACAGTGCAAAGAGGAAGCCATTTCTAAGCAAGCTCCACAAGCTCAGAAGTTTGCACTGGGCCAGGGGTCATTTAAAATGGAAAGTGGCAAAATGGAAGACTGTTCTGTGGTCAGATGAGTCACGATTTGAAGTTCTTTATGGAACACTGGGACGCCATGTCATCCAGACCAGAGAGGACAAGGATAACCCAAGTTGTTATCAACGCTCCGTTCAGAAGCCTGCATCACTGATGGTATGGGGTTGCATGAGCGCTTGTGGCATGGGCAGCTTGCATGTCTGGAAAGGCACCATTAATGCAGAGAACTATGTTCAGGATATGCTCCCATCTAGACGTCATCTCTTTCAGGGAAGACCCTGCATTTTTCAACATGATAATGCCAGACCACATTCTGCAGCAATCACAACATCACGGCTAAGTAGAAGGATCCGGGCACTGAAATGTCCAGCCTGCAGTCCAGATCTTTCACCTATAGAGAACATTTGGCGCATCATAAAGAGGAAGGTGCGACAAAGAAGGCCCAAGACGATTGAACAGTTAGAGGCCTGTATTAGACATGAATGGGAGAGCATTCCTATTTCTAAACTTGAGAAACTGGTCTCCTCTGTCCCCAGACGTCTGTTGAGTGTTGTAAGAAGAAGGGGGGATGCCACACAGTGGTAAAAATGGACTTGTCCCAACTTTTTTGGGATTTATTGGTGCCATGAAATTTGGAAACAACAGATTTTTCCTTAAAATGATACATTCTCTCAGTTTAAACTTTTGATCTGTGATTTGTGTTCTATTCTGAATAAATATTAGATGTTGGCACCTCCACATCATTGCATTCAGTTTTTATTCACAATTTGTTTAGTGTCCCAACTTTTTTGGAATCCGGTTTGTAAACAGGCAAAAGCTAAGCCCTAAAAGTTGTGGAAGCATCTCAAAGTTAGTGAATCAAAAGATCTAATTACCAATTTTTTCCTCTTCGACAATTATAGTGAAACATTTAAAGCACTCTACTAATAATTCATGCCTACAGCTGTGCATTAGTCACCTTTCTTCCATTCTGCCAATGTATTTGTTTTAACATTAAGCAAGGACGCTGACAGTTTGCTCAAGTTCAATTCAAAGTCCATCTGAAGTGGCATTTTATTAACTATAAAAATGTTCAAAAACTACTGAGTTCTTGACCCCAAGCACACACTGAAGGCTAGTAAAGGTACAGTACAATTTGTGAATACACATAAGTAAATATGACTGCAAAATCCAGATGGAACAGAATATTTTTATCAAAAAGCTGAGGCCCATTCCTTTTGTCTGTTGAGAGGAAACAACATTCTACTCCTGTGCTAATGTATCCACATGAAGCAAAAAATAAAATAAGAGAAACCACTTGGACAGTTTTTTTGTTTGTTTTTTGTTTTTATCAGCAGCGTAATGCAAAGCTTAAAATTACATTTACTAATCAGCCTTAAAAATAATAAGTGTTAAAAGTTAAAGGGCAGGAAAATATCAAAACATAAATGTGCGGTGACCGCAAAAAAAAAATATATATATATTATGGGCATAAAAAATGGAATTTTATTGGGAAACAGTAAATTAAATTGTAGTTAAGTGTCAAAAACAACACAGTGATCCCAGTTTTGAAGCTTTTAACCTGTGCAATGGGGAAAAAAAATCAAAACAAGACAGAAACTTTCAGTTTGTATTTTGAACTTCAGTGAATGGGCCTGTCATCGTGCAAATTTTACAACCAAGGAAACAGTCAATTTGAACCTTCAAGTTTTAAGTGCACATCTGTTCCATTGAATCCAAGATATGCTAACTTTTCAAACATGTTATAATACATGTATATGAACTGCAAGTTTACAACAGCTGTGACGTCCAGCACAAAACAAAAACGATCAGATTCAAGTTTAAATGGCCGTGTAGGGAGTAAGGCCACTCCAGTTTGGGATGTAAGATCCATCGAGGTTGGTTTAACAATTTCTTCAGTCAAAGTCAGAGCTCTGTTGTTGTCCAGCCTTTCATATACAACATGAATTACGGTGGTAAATGCAAAAAAACAGAAGTAACCTGAAGTGAGCAGGCACAGTCTTTTAAGAAGACCTCAAATAATCTGACAGTCCAGCATTTTTAAAGGTCAGTAGGGCACCACTTCAGTAGATCTTTGCAAGACTGCAAGAAATATTCAGCTACAGACCGTCACATGAAGTCACCGAATGAGTCTCTCGTGATAACCACTCTGCTGCCAGTCAGAGGCAGATGGCAGTTGGTGCGGCCTGAAATACAGATGGCCGAGCTGTGTCAGCTTATCTAACCAGCTGTCAGTCAAAAACAACGCGTGAGCGACTTGGACAGACCGTCTCGAGTGACCAGGCAAGCGCACAGTGGGCGAAGGCAACCGTTAGTCGCTCAGGCAACAGTCACAGAGCTCCTTGTAGATCCTCTTTCGAATGCGCGGCATGTCGTCCTGGCTGAACCGCAGAGGCTGCTTCACCGACAGACAACGGCAGTACTGACGAAAGAAAAAGACACGCAGCAATGTGAAATAACCCGCAACCTCTTTATTCAAACACGGGCACAGACACAAGCTACTTCTGTAGCTTCTTTGGAGGATGTAAAAAATAAACTACCGTAAATGCCGGTATATAGAACGCACCTGACTGTAAGTCGCGCATGCTAAATTTAAAAATACATATTTTCCACCGTACTTGTCGCACCACCCTATAAGTCGCATCAGTCCAAATATGTCTAATAAAGTGGAAAAATCCATAAATATGTCACTTCACCGTATACGTCGCATCTATTATGTGTCACCGCTGACAACCCGGAAATGTGGGCCAAACCCGGAAATGTGGGCCGGTGTTGTGCCAAAAATCGACGAGCTGCCAAATAGCGGCCATGGGAGCGTGCACGGGAGGACTTTAACAGGAATTTAATAAGAATAACACTTAAATACCATTGTTTGTTTGCTCGAAATTATAGTAAAGGTGTGTCTCAGTCTAACTTTTCCTTAATAAATGCACTGACGGTCAAACCAGCTGCATTTCAAAAGCCGATACACGGAAGTAAATTTGTGCACGTGACGAGTCACTGTACAAATTTAACAAGATAAACACCTAAACAATTATTTGCTTGCTCGAAATTATAGTAAAGGTGTGTCTCAGTCTAACATTTGCTTATTAAACGCACTTTGATGGTCAAATCAGCTGCATTTCAAAAATAGTTTTGCTGCTGATGTGCACGCAGACAGGGAGAGAAAAAGGAAGGAGGAACGCTACTCGTTTAATCGAAATTTAACAAGGAAAGCACCTAAACATTTATTTGTGTGCTCGAATTTATAGCAAAGTTGGGTGGGTGTTGGGCAGGCTATATGAGCACCCAGGTGTGTCAAAGGAAAATGTTATTCATCAGCAGGAAGCTTGGCAGCCTATCAAAATAAAATGTAAAAATAAAGTAAAATATTATAATTTAAAGGTTTTAAAGGACCTGTGTATAAGCTGCGGAGTCCAAAACATGAGAAAAAAAGTAGTGGCTTATACACCGGCAATTACGGTATACAGCCCAGAAGAGGTTAGAGGAATAGATTCAAGGATTTAAGGAGTTTCTCTGAGAAATGAAACCTAAAAAGTAAAAAGACCGGAAACAAAAACAGGAAATAATGTCTCACCTCGAGAACAAAAACTCCACAGTCGCTGTCATTTTTCTGCTGTGGGATACTCTGAGAAAACATCAAGTCACAGTTTAAAAGAAGGATAATTGGTAGTTTCTATAAGAGGCTTCAGGTCTGTTTTTATGTGTTCATTTGACTTTGTAGTATGAACAGATGTGATTACAGCGTAGTTTCCTTAAAAATAAGACCTGAAAGTAACATCGTCATTAATTCTCCTACATTGAATGAAGGTTCTGCTAAATCCGAGAAGAAAACACAGATGGCTAGCTGTAGCTGTACCAGGCAATGAACGCATGTTAGAGGACAATGTGAAGACAGAATGATAAATATAGACGGGGTCAGACTCACCTTGATGATGGTAATCTTCCAGCCTTTCTGGAAAGCTGTCTGCTTTTTCTCTCTGGCTTCTGACTGAAGATACTTCATAATGTTCTGATAGGGAGCACACAGACACAGAACAGTTTTGGTACAGGGTAAGAAAATTAGCTAAATTTGACAAGGATATTGTTTTAATTGGAATCAGTCCATAACCTTAGCAGGGCTGCAGCCCAAGGTAAAAGAATTATAAAGCCCTGCTTGACTTTAGGGCTGGTATCCAATCAACCAGTACAACAGACTGGCTGACTAATAGCTCATTTGGAGATTTGTTCATCTCAGTATTACTCACTACATGTGTAATAACCTGTCACACAACCTGTGTAGTTTATGTTATGTGCATTATATATCATGTACATTTAAGCTAGTATTACTACCTGTGAAATACTTAATTATACTAACTCATCCTACTTGCACCGTTACATTCTACCACGTTGTCTTCTACTCTATTTCTTTTTCACTTTTTGGTACTGTACTTTCTTTTGTACCATTATTGCATACTTTAGTATTTCTTCTTTGGTTTTGTTAGTTTTTTTTCTTAGCGAGTTGCATCGGTTCTTCTCATCCTGAACATTTCATTGCATTGTTGACCTTGTGTTAACCTGCGTATAACAAATAAACAACATAACGCATAACATTTTAGCAAAAATTTCATTGCGACTCTTAGAAATAAGCGCATATTTGCATGTAATTATATTGTATAGACAATGGTTGTTGTCTTTTTCTGGTACTGAAACAAATTTGATGCTTGCAGCTAAATTTGAACTGAAGTTTTATGATTTTTTTATTTATTTACATACACACCAGACATAAAAAAACAACCCCGGGAAGAATTGTGTTGTTTTGTGAGACTTGTGCTGAAACGTCCACATGTGAATAAAGCACAATGCATCAACAAACAACTAATTTAGAATGAGCATAAAATATAATTCAGAACTTATCCAAAGCTGATCAACTGAATATTGTTTCACTTATGTATAGTTTCTTAACAAAACATAATTACCACATGATATAGGTGTTAAAACAGTCAGCAGAAAAGCTGTACATCATAAAACACTTCACTCTCTGAGGAAGTTTAAAGTCTCAAACTGTGAACAACACAAAACCATCAGCATGTGCAGAGCTACTCACATCGGTTGTGTGTCTGAAAACGATGCCTTGGCTGTCATAGTAGCTGATGGTTTTGGTTGCCATGGTGACCGTGACAAGAGACCAGTGGATTTCTAAGTGGATGGGAATTAACAACAACCATTTGGAGAACAAGTCAACCTGAAATAAATGCAAATTATCATACACTCATTAGATACAGAGTAAAATTAATTATTGCAGGTGTCCAGCGCAAACTATCAAAAATGCATAAACAATGATTACTTTACTAATTTACTTTATGGAAAACTATGGAACAACAGGTAGAGCAGCATTTGACCCAAAACAATACTTTGAGATTTGTTTTTTCTGCAAAGTCAACTCGGTTTGTTTGAAATTATTCAGTTTCACTGTAAGCAAACTCTATTCAGACTCTGCTGAGCAACAGGAACAACCAGACCAAATGTGAATCTGATTTCCTGAAGCAAACCTTTTCCTGGGTCATATGAGGCTCAACCATCAGTGCTTCAGAATAAACATGGCTCTTACCTTTTTAGTCCATCTCTTCACACCATCATAACCTTTGGCGACCAACTGCTTGTAGAAAAAACTGTTGAAAAAATGAACCTAGAAGACACAATTAAAACTTGTTACACATCAAAAAGTCTTGTAGAAGAAGTGACGCTAATTTAACATTACGCTGTACATATTTGAAATAAATCAAGTACATTTTGAAACTCGCTCGGACTTACCTTGTGCTCTGTTGCCTCCATAATGATTTCCCCATACATGTTAATAATCTGAAGTTTCAGAAGTAAAATGGCAATAAGCAAAGATATCATTCAAAGTCTGTACTGTTTTTACTCTGATTTATGCAATATATTCAGGTACAAGTACAACAAGCGCCATCCTTGTTTGCAGAGCAGACAATAATTTAAAAAAAAATACTGTATTTTCTGCCATACACGTGGCACCGCCCTATAAGTCGCATCAGTCCAAATATGTCTACTAAAGTGAAAAAATCCATAAATATGTCGCTTCGCCGTATACGTCACATCTATTATGCGTCATGGCTGACACGTCACGTTTGTTACGAGTCACCGCTGACAACCCAGAAATGTGGGCCGGTGTTGTGCCAAATATTGATTGGCTGCCAAATGGCGACTACGGGAGCGTGCACGGGAGGACTTTAACAAGAATTTTATAAGATTAACACTTAAAAACAATTATTTGTTTGCTCAAAATTATAATAAAGGCGCGTCTCAGTCTAACTTGTCCTTAATAAAAGCACTTTGACGGTCAAATCAGCTGCATTTCAAAAGCCGATACACGGAAGTATGCGCGTGCACGGGAGGACTTGCTGTGCATTTCTTTGAAATTTAACAAGAAAATCAGCTAAAACAATTATTTGTTTGCTCAACATTATAGCAAAGGTGTGTCACAGTTGAACTTTTACTTAATAAATGCACTTCAATGGTCAAATTAGCTGCATTATTCCGGGGCAGTGCAGCGAAATGAAGCTGATTTGACGGTTGCTCCAGGCGAGCTGGACGAAGGAGGCAGGCTATGGCAAGCCAACTGTGTCGTTAATAGCCACGTTTACCTATTACATGACATAACGGCATGCTACACTACTCGAGTGCCATCTAGCAGCTGAAAATGGTAGTGTTCAATATTTTCAGTCAGAATGAATGACAACGGTCATATCTCAGCCAAAAATTTGTTTATAAATATGAAAAAAATCCATAAATATGTCGCTTCGACGTATAAGTTGCAGGGTATTCAAATTATGCACAAAAAAAAAAAAAACTGTGACTTATAGGGCAAAAAACACAGTACATCTGCATAGCTGTAAACCAGTCTTGCCTTCTCTTCACCTGATCATTGAGCCAGTTCTGATCCTCCAGCGTGCTGAGGTCCTCCAGACTCAGTGTGTGTTTATTATTTGTGACCATGAAGCCCACAACAGGAGCAGACGCCAACGCCGCTATGTACCGAGTCATTTCTCCTTTAACGTCCAGTCCACTACAACAGATAAAACAGACACGCACAAAGAAAGTTTATGTGTAATAAAATAATTTGTTTCTTTACCTTCACAGTTATTTACAGGACTATGGGAAGGTCACCAGACTATCACTGCGCCAACACTAAAACAAACAAGACAAACAACCAAACACTCACATTTAACATCAATTTAGCTTTTGCAAATATTTTATAACCTGTGCCAATACAGCACAGCCAAGTTATTCTTGTTATAGGTACAAAAAATGTGTGGAAAAGTAAAAAAAATACTCAGGATTTGTACACAAAGTTCAAACTGGATGAAATAAATCCTAAGTGCTTGTTTGCTGACCTGCTGTTGATGTCAGGGTTTCCGTTCTTTTTCAGATGTTCCAGGACGTCAGACTCACTGAGAGGAGTGAAGCTGCCATATTTTAAATAGGAGCTCTCTAAAAAGTCTAGAAGAAAGGAAGTGTTTAAATTATCAGTAAATCAGAGTTTTAGTTTTAAACAAAATGTTTCATTAAAACAGTATCCGTATTTGTTTTGTGCTTATAATGTTAATACAGTTTATGAGGGTTTTGCTGTGACAATGCAGCTCTGTAAATGAAATTGGAATACGTTTAATCAAGAAGATGGATAGGATGGGTGGGTAATGCCCTTAATATTTCTAACAGCACTGAACGTATTATCTGGTGGTAGTTTAAATTTTGTAAGTGATGCACTAAAACGTTGCATATCCACAGGTCCACCCACAGCGAGGAAAACAGAACCTGTCATGAAGCAGATGGACTCCAAATCAATCCCATATGACAAAATATATATACAACATGGGAAGAAATACCATCTGCAATAACAAAATATATTACCCAAAGAAACGTATAATAGGAGAGTTCATATGAATTTTTGGCTATCATAATCAAGTATTTGCACTCAGAGCAATAAGCAGCCTATATATTCATTTATTTTTGTTTCACGCACTTTTGTTACTACCTGACATCCCTGACTGTCCTATCCAGACGTATTTTAGACGTTGTTACCTAAAGAACCAGGTTTGTCATTAAGTAGAAGAAACTTCAACGGAGTTTTAGGAACAAATGTAACTAGAAAAATGTTGTTAAAGTTAAAAGTTCAAGCTAAAAGCTGCTGAACACAAGCTAAAAACAAAAACGCAGGAGAACCGTAGCTAGAAGCTAAAAGCAGCAAAATGGTAGCTAAAAGTTAAAAAGAAAAGAAACAGTTGATACATAATAACAAAGATTAAAGAAATAACAAAAATAATACAAAATGTGCACAAGTAGTTTACAAAAAACAGACGTAAGAAATGATAAACGCGAGAACAAGTGGTGTGAACGCTGAGCATGCACACAAGGTGAAATGAAGGTTACATGAGATTAAAGAAAATGTCTACGGTTGCTGCAGCAGAAGATGAAAAACAAAAGTTTCAGCTTGGTTTACAGGCTTAAAGTAACAAAAGACTGGATTCTTTTCAGCAAACCCCGAGCTCCGAGGTTTCAGATTTCGTTGTCGCTGTGCAAAAGTATTTTTAGACGCACTGTGTTAAAACGGACTATCTCAAGTTGGAAAAATCTTTTATAATAACAAATTTATAAATGGCAATTAGTCAAACCAATTAAAAATAGTTGAATGAAACATGAAACTCACCAGAAATAACCCTAACCCTGATTAGTGCGCTACACCATGAAAATGAAAGTCAATGACAAAACAAAAAACATTAACTGTACTTTTAAATGTACTTTGTTTTGCGCTATTACGTGTTTAGTGTATTTCTTAGTTTGTATCTTTATTTACTGTTTTCCTTTACAATTTATATTATTGGATGTAACTGGGATGCTGTGTACACAATTTCATTCCACCTCATGTACCACATGTGATGAGAATGAGAATAAAGAACAGTGAACTTGAAATGACTGGTTCGTTTCCTACTACTGACCTCATTCTAATAAGAAAAAAAAACTTTTAGGGATAAAAATTTGAAGTTTTAAAAAAAAAGGACAGTGGTATGTTTCAAAGCATTCTGAGAACAGTACTGAATGTTAGTCCTTGAAAATATTTGTGAATGTGCGTTCATATTCCTGTCATACCTTAAAACAGTGTGTTTTAATACATATCTTACCATGGACAGTGTCAATAAGCTGCTCCAGGCGTTCCTTACTCTGTAGATCCGTATCCATATCTCCTTCTTCAGCCTGATTTTTATTTAACATTTCTCCTGTCTCATCTTTTGCCCAGGTTCCAGTCTGACAGTATAGTTTGTGGTCACTTAATGCCCAAAGGTACTCGGTGCTGCTCACAGTTATTGGGTCAGGAGGAGGAACCGTGGCTGTGTTACATGTGTTATCCTTCACAGGTAAATATGTAGGGTCACAGTCTGTTGGTGACATGTTTCCATTGGGCAGCATTAATGATAAAGACACTTGGTCTGCTTGGTCAGAGTCATGGTCCACCTGCATTTTATAGTCAAGGTCTTCGATGCAGGATACTGCAGGTTCACACACAATTATGCTGTGGTCCTCCATTTCCCCGTCCATGTCCAATAAGTTTACCATGTTTCCATTTCCAAACTGAGATATAACAGGGTCAGTGTCATTTTGGTCCATCTGTGAATCTTGTTTTTGCATTAACACAGACTGAGCTAAGGCACCTGTTCTTGAACTCATCCCATGACCTTTACCTCGGCTTTTTATTGGAATATGACCTTCAATTTTTGACACAGTCATGGCTTTCCCTTGTCCTTGACCTCTAACTGCTACTGTTCCCCTGTATTCCTGTCCTAACAGTTTTGAGTCTACATCCTTTTCATCACCACGTACTTTCTCTAACACACCAGCGAACCCTGAAGCTGGCATCAACACATCCTCCTCTATCTGCACAACCCTTTTCTTTGGAGCAGTACAGTTTTGTATTGGTCCATCTTTTGGGGTGGCTTGGACAGTTGTATGAACAGGCGTTTGTGACGGTGTGTTAGACAGTTGCAGAGGCATTTGCAACTTCTCCTGTGCATCATCTCCATCTTCTGTTTCCTGTACTTTCTTCTTGTTCAAATTAAAGTTCTTGAGGACTGTCAACTGTCCAACTTTTCTTTTAGGGGTGTCACCAAAGTCTTTGCCAGCTCCTCTTCCTCTCCCTCTTCCCCTCCCTACTGGCGTCCCCTTCCCTCTGCTCGAGGTTGCAGCATTGTGTCCTAAACTGTTGGGGCCACAACAGTCACAAGCCTTAGGAGTCCTTTTCCTGCCTGATGTACGACCATTGAACAGGCTCTGAGCAAGAGCTGTTGTCTGTGGAGATGGCCCGATGGACGTTGGGCTCGACTTTGTGCTTGATGCTTTTATTGTGGTTACAACAGGAGATTTTACATCAGCAGGAGTCAGAGTAGTAACCAGCGTGGAATCTGAGCTGGAAGTCAACTCTGCTTGGTGAGGTGAAGCAGATGGTGCCGTTTTCAACAGGGAAGAAGAGCTGCTGTGAACCATGACGTCCGCCTTTGGCTCTCTAACCCCATCCCCAGTGGCCCCTCTCCACACCGTCTTCTCCTTCCTCTCAGTTAGCTGGTTTACAATAACTGGGGTTGTTCTTCCTTAATCTTTATCCTGCCCCTTTAGGTATTCTCCTGTAAGATTAATGCTGTTGTGTAGATAAATAGTTGTTCTACAGCCTTTCCCACGAAAGTAATCATCGATGAAAGCAGACCAGAACACTGCAAGATCTTCAGTGTAACTATGGCACCATGGTCTCCTTAATACATAAAGTAGGAAAAGGAGGGGAAAGGAAAAAGGAGAAAAATAATGGTTTACAGTTAAAACATGTATAACATTTATCATTCACACATGGAAATGGCAAAAAAAACGTGAACAAAGCAAATACAGATCAATGCATTTTTATTGGTTTAAACTTGTTTTGTTTTTTTTAGCTAAATGCCTGTAGTGCTGATTGATTGAAGGTTGAATGGTAAAATTTCATTCATTGCAAAGAAAAATAAATTTAAAAAACGCACTCTCTCACAAACACAAATTGATTTTATTCCAGGAAGAGCTGTTATATACCAAACTATTTTTTTTTAAATTAAGGTTAAAATTATAATAATTATATTTGAGACTTAGCTCAACTACAAGTCTCACAAATCAGTCTTAATATTCAGCCTGAAAGACCCTCTTTATCCAGGAATGTAAAATGAATGAGTTCTGCAGAATAGCATTGTAAAATTAAAAACACAAATTTATATACGCAATAAAATATCATGCGTCGCAGATAAATCGCTGTCGAGGCGTCTTTTTACCTGCAGATATATATTAAAGCTACTGTTCTGCTTTTTGTTTTTAGCTTTTGTTATGCTGCTTTTAGCTTTCACAAGCAAGAAACTGTATCATTTTCAAGTTAACTGTTACAGTTGAGTTATAATTAACAATAAATGGACTCGTAAATTTATTAAACGCGTCTAATATGTCAATCAGTAAAGTTACAAATAAGTTTTTCCCATTTCTCTGGGGCTAGCTGGCTGAGCTAATAGCTGCAGCAACAACACAAAGCAGCGATTTCCTCCATTTTCAAAGCGAAGTAGAAGCGACTACGGATAAAGCCGCTGCAAGTCAGGGTTTGGGGATATTCGAAGTTTAAACTAGCTAAAGCTGCTTTAAAAAGTCAAAGTAAAGGTCGTTATACACCACCTTGTTTATAAAGCATCAAACTGAGGTCCGTCTGGCCACGATTAAAAGAAAACAATTCAAACCCGTCGTCGCGCATTGATTGCGTCACGAGGTCGGGTCTCAGCCGCTGGTGTTCCGAAAAAACCCACCATCATTGGATAAACTGAACCGCTCGCTACTTTTAAAGGTCACGATTATTTCATTATGATATCTATTTATACAGGGATGAATGATTCTTAATGAAAACTACAAGAAAATAATATTTATGGTCAGAAACTGCGGTACAGTGCCAAGAAAAAACACTATTTTTAGGAGACATCCTGATGCATGCTCAATAATCCATGTAGAAAAATCTAAAAAAGTTAAATCTGGTCCTCTGGACATTCAAAAAAATAAATAAATAAATAAATAAATTGTTTGACTTTCAGCTTCTTTTATCAAGAACACGTGGTAACTATTCATAATGGGGCGCTTTACCCACCAAGCAATTCTTTATTTCTTTTTTCTTTCTATATTTCTTTCTGTTTACTGTTGATACGACAAATAAACTGGCATTCATTTTAATTATTTGCAATAATTACAATAAATAATGCCTAAAATAATGCAAAACACACTGTGTCTAAATGAATTTAATTACAAAAAAGTACAATAAAAATAAATAAAGTTGAATGTCAAAAAGTACATGAATTAATTAGAAAGTTACACATGGTGGAAAGTTACACAGCAGAAAATGTATAATTACAGACGACGTCAGCAGCTTTCAGCCTTTTAAAAGAAATCATATAACGCCAAAATGCATCATATTCATCATATTTATGCATGACAGAGTAAAAAAAGTGAGATAAATATTAAAACATTGAGTTTACATTGAAACTTTTGAACATCAAGGATAAAGAAGAGGATAATTAGTTGTGAAAAATCTGTCCATTATTATACAAGAATTAATTTTGCATAAAGTCAGTGCTTTATCGTTCTCTACTGTGATAAAACAACAGAAATGTTTTTTTACAAGTGTGTTTGGCTCAAATAATGTAAGGTGGTCAGACTTTATTAATAGCAAATAAACAGCAAAAGGACTAATGCTTTCATACACATCTCTTACAACAATACTGCATTTTCTGCAAGGAAGCAACAAGAAAACATTTGAAAATTGCTATTCTAATAAGGAGTATGCTTTCTTTTACTAAAAAGACTAATTATAGCTACTCAGTGCTTCAAAAAATTGGCACCATGTACAGATAAAGTTCATTTATTCATTTGTATGCATTTTTTTAATTTTACAAGAAAAAGCTAAAGAATAAGGTTTGTCCAGGCTCACATAGCTCAAGAGAGATTTGAAATCTGACATTAGAAAAGGAGACGAAAGCAAAAAAATATATATTGTAAGAGAAAATCTGCTCATACAAAGAGTTTATTTTACATTTTATACATATTTTAAACACTTAAAATCCTGCTGTACAGTGAAGGTTGCAGAAAAGTGGATGCTGGTCAAATTTTAAAAAGGCCTGAGTTGCAGCAAACAGTTTCAATTTTGTGGTTGTAGCCTTAAAATAAATGAGATGAATAAATGTACCAAGCTTTAATATTCTCTAAAAACATAAGAAAATAATAGTATTTATTAATATTGCCATGTTATTAAATGACTGCATTTAAAAATAGCTGGAGAAGACTGTGGTCTGCTACCTATCAAAGAGTGCTGTTGATCGCTGGTGTGTGGATGATTTTGGAGACCGCTGCTCCGTCCCTGCCGCCTGCAGTCAGCACCCGGAGCTGCAGCCAGTAGGTGCTGCCACTGTGGAGACCCCCAACCGTGACCGACCGCTCAGACTGCAGGGTTAAAAACACACAAGGTAAATGCACAAACTGCAGCAGCAAAATAAAAAGATTCCTATAAATTTTGATTACTGCCATGGCACCTCAGTGTATAACTAAAAGAAGCCCTCTTGTTCTGTATTTTGATCATTTCTACATTTGTTTGTGGCTTTAGATGCTCGAAAATGACAGAACTATTGGAAAGTGTGTCTCAGTTGCTCATTTTGTAGAAGCTGAACAGAGTTGGTTTAAAATGTATTTTGAGCAGAAGGACAAAGACTCAGCATAAGCAGATTTGTGCATCAGTTCATTCATTTAGCTCAGTTTTGTGGAACATCCATCCATTATCTTTACCCACTTCTTCCTTTTTGGGTCGCAGGGGTCACTGGTGCTGTTAGGGAATCTTTGCTCAATATGGATATTTTTTTTAACTACTATGGCTGAAAATGTTATCTCTGCCCATGAATCATATGTTTGGGTTAGTGGAAGGCTGAATGAGGAGTTGGGGGAGGTGGCTGCGCGCAGCTGTCTCTCCAAGGTCGCCTCTGAGTTTGTGAGCTCAGCTAAACTGATCGGTGCATAAAAACAAACTTTGCACACTGGGATTTGAACCAGGGACCTGCTTGCTGAGAGGCAGCAGCTCTGCTAAATCGGCCACTGTGCTACCATTTTGTGGAACAAATAAATAAACTAATATACAAGGCTTGGACTATACCCATATCCAGGCCTTTTCTTACCGGACCGATTGTCTGCGTCTGGGAGACACGTGTGTCTTCTAGTCTTTCCGTTGCTGCACTGAGCTCAGATTGCAGCGTCCAGGTGAACTGGAAACCCTCAACAGCAGCTGAGTCGAGTGCATGATGGGAAATTCTCCAGCGAATTGTTGTGAGCAAGGTGCCATTGACTTGTTGAAAAGCTGCAGTCAGTCGCTCTGGTCGTAGCACCACCTTCCTTACAGACAGGGGGTGCTCTGATACAACGAGACAAAACATTACATTAAAACAAAACTGACCATGTTCATAAAACCATTACACATACTTGAGTTAATATATCAACAAGCATATGTTTTTTATTAATATTTAAATAAAAGGTGAGTAAGCAGTTGTTGCATTTCCCTTGATGACATCACTCTTAGTAGAAAAGGAATTTCACAAATAAATATAATCTAAAATTACACATATCCCATGTGTCACTCTGCCCATCCCTGGAGTCATCAAATTTAAGAGTATTACAAGATTTTATTTTTTGGCAGAGCAAAAATATGGAACAAAAAGAAATAATGAAAATATATTAGCAGTTTGTAAACAAATGTTAGAGCTGTCTGTATAAGTTCCCTGACTTTTGTAATAACATATAAATATTAATAATGTCCTGTCACTTTGTAAAAAAAAAAGTTGTCCAAACAACAAACTTCTTAACTTCATTTGACTGAAGTATTTTTTTGTTTCTTTGTTTAAACATAGCTTTGTGCAGATAAAAATCATGATTCTTCAACACTGATTAGACTAAATCCCTGTTTGTTTTGTTGACGATAAACCTGCTGACTCTCTTTCTACGGATTTTAATCTTCCAACCACAAGTCGTTCAATATCACAAATCCCTCCAATTTCCATCGGTTTTGCTCTAGAGCTTCTTTTTTTTTTTTTTTTTAATTAATATCACACTGTCACTAATGTTTCATATCAATGCAGCCAGTTTCTCACGACTTGCAGCTTCGGTTTAATGACTGGATTCTGTTTCGACTCGTGTGAAACATAAACAGCTTCAAGAAAAGAAAAGAGCCTCTTTGGACTTAAAGCGTAAGAATTCACCTGTTTGATTTATCATTAACAAACAAATCAGCACTGGCTTTCAAAAAAGAATCAATCGTGTTCTTTATCAAATCATTACAGAAAGTATTTTTTAATGTTTTAAATAAGAGATAATTCTTTTTTTTAAGGGACAGTTGGCAAACCGAAAGCACCTTCTGTACATCTGTGATCAGTTACCTGTATTTTCACTGTTGCAAGGCAAAACCTTGACTCCTCTGACCCTGATTGAGGCACAAGTTGGGGTTGTAACCCAGGCAACAGCCTCGGCCCTTGGCTCAACCTTTGTTGCCACTGCGACTCTGTACTTGCAGGCAAACTGGAGGCCTTTAATGGTGTGATGGGTGCCCTGTAGAAAAAGGAAAATGAGACAAGCTACATCTAAAAATGCTAAAAACAGACATTAATTGTTGCTAAACGGACAAGTAATCCCTGTTAAAACGGACCCTTTCCAAGCTTCTTCAAAAATGCACATTACCTCTAGTCATTGTCTCAGCACCTGTCTAGAATAAGCACTTGTCAGCTCCATGTTAAAATAAACACGGCGCTCTTTGGCAGCTCTGAAGCTGGCAGCTTGAAATGGCAACAAATGCTGTAACTGTTTCAAAAAGTCTGAAATCATGTTCTGTAAACTTTGCAAATTACAAACAGCAGTTTTATATGACACATCTTGGACAAAAGGTAACCGCTGCCGAAAAGTGAGTCCATTTTGTTAGATTTTTTTTAATCGCTCAACGAACTTTTTGCAAGCACCTTTATCGAAAAGCTCTTGTTGGCTAGAGCTCCATTTTTTCCATACAATTTATATTTAGCTGACTTTTCGGCCTTTTTTGTCCTAACTTTGACAAAAAGTGTTTTACCATAAGGACATCACAAACTCCATTGCAACACTGCTGAATTAATCCGATTACCGTATTTTTTGGACTATAAGGCACACTTAAGATCCTTTATTTTTCTCAAAAATTGACAGTGAGCTTTGTGTATTAATTTTGATTGTGGTTACTGACCTCAAACCGATTTTATGTGGTACACGGCACTCAAAAATCTGTCAAAATGAACTTGTTTCGCTTAATGCACTTTATAATCCGATGCGCCTTATGTATGAAAACAGTGATTTTATTTATTAACCTTTATTTAACCAGGCAAATCCCATTGAGATCAGATCTCTTTTGCAGGGGAGGCCTGGGCCTGAAGGCAGTCTAGCATGCATGTTTTTATCTGTATTTTTTGACTATATTACGCCTTATAGTCTGAAAAATATGGTAAAAGTTGGTATGGCAAAGTTTTTGCTGAGCATGGAAAAATAGTATTCATTCATTCAACCTTTATTTATAAAGGGTTAATCCCATATCCCATCCCAATATGGGATTTTCTTTATTAAAAAAAAAGGGTCAAAACATACTGCAATGGCACATAAAGTTAAAAATTGCTGAGAAATTTCTTCATAAAAATAAGATTCTATAAAACAAATGCATGTGCAGATACAAAGGTATTTTACCCAGAGCTCTGACAATTATGGCAAACGTGACAATAGACAGAGACTCAGAGATGACTGCAGACAGAGAAACATGCATCAGAGTTGCAATGAAATTTGATCTCTGATCCACAGACACACACGTCTCTGTACAATATAACATAGACAAGGAAGGCATACCTCCACCACCGCTGTTGTTCTCTTTGAGCTCGTAACATTTGTGCTGCAGGTATGAGGACGCCACTGCAAAACATACGGACCTCTGTGTTTCTGTCTGGCTGCAAAAAGAAAAACAGAAGAAGAATCTAACAAGAAAGCCTGTTATAGTGTATAAAGATGAATAATAGGCTTTAAGGCAAGATATTTAAAATAGCAAGTTTAATCTAATGCTACATTTATAATACAAAATTATACATTGAGAAGTAAAATATTCCCATTTCAGATCCAGCTATCTTTGCCTCTGCTGTGAGCATGCTTAATTTTGCAGACAAGCAATATTATTGCAGTTTAAACATGTCTAGTGTTCAAAAAGCTCACCGTGGTATGGCCACTTCCAGAACACCTTCACCTGCAGCTGGTTGTCGTGGTAATGAGGGGCTGCGACCTCCAGCCGCAGGGTCTCAGAGGTGACGGGATTCAGGGGAGATTCAGGGTGAGTCGGAGAGGAGGAGGCAGCAAGGTCAGGGTAGGGAAGAGATGACAAGGAGGAGGGGAGCTCATTGGAGAATTCCTCGTCTTTGGTGTTGAAGTCTGAAAAAACAAGGGTTTTAAGGATTATAGTACATACGCACACAGAAAAACTTAGTTAAAAACACCAAAGTCCATGCTCAATAATCCAGGTATAAAATCCAACAGTGTTCAGTCAGGTCATCTGGACGGTTTCTTTTTTGTGCTGAGACATTTCACCCTCCATCCAAAGGCTTTTTCAGTCTGAGGAAACGCCAAACAAAACTGATTCTCCAGCAACAGCTTACTCCAAAGTGGGAAAAAACAATTAAGTTGGTGCTAAACTGGCCACTAGGCACGCCCTCTCCTCCGGTGCCTGCCCTCTCCCTCGTCGACAGTCATGTCAAACTGGTTCAAAACACCAAAGTTCATGCTCAATAATTCAGGTATAAAATCCAACAATGTTCAATCAGGTCATCTGGATGGTTTCTTTTTTTTGTGCTGAGATGTTTCGTCCTCCATTTGAAGGATGAGGGAGAGGGCAGGCACAGGAAGAGAGGGCGCACCCCAGAGGCCATCTTAACACCAACATAACAGTTTTTTTTTAGACTTTGGAGTAAGCTGTTGGTGGAGAATCAGTTTTGTTTGGTGTTTCCTCAGACTGATGAAGCCCTTCGGATGGAGGGCGAAACGTCTCAGCACAAAAAAAGAAACCGTCCAGATGACCTGACTGAACACTGTTGGATTTTATACCTGGATTATTGAGCATGGACTTTGGTGTTTTTAACTAAGTATTTAAAACATTGATCTTGGATTCTCATTGGCGTTGTCCTTGGCCATTCCCCAACACCCCTCGAAAATGTTTACGGATCTCACTGGCTGATTATTCCATCCTTATCAGAACTCCTACAGTGCCTCTGGGAGCGTCCTTGGACACTCTCACCGCCCTTGTCATCTCCCCCCACCCTCTGTGGAATATCTACGTCACTATGTGCTTGTATGTGCGGGGTGTTTTTGTTTCATTATCAGGGTCTTTCTTCTCAGCCAAGAAGAAAGAGTTTGATATGAATATTTTTTGCCTCCAAATCCTACAAGTGTTCACTTTCATTACTTTTGTCAGTTTAAACAGAGTTCACTTGTAAAAAAAAAAAAGTATTTGAGGCTCAATGTGATTTATCTGTCTAAATAAATGTTGAATGAATGAAAAATCTTATGCAGTATGCCTGATGTCACTGATCAAATGTAAGAAAATTGTTATCTACATTGAACTCTTCATTTTTCTGCAAACCTTTGTCTGCCTAAAAGATAAAAAAATATATTGGCAAACCTGAATGAATCTGAATTAGTGGCCACAAAGTTTTATCAACAGATATGTTTTCATCAGATATAATGTTTGAGAAATATCATGAACTAGTTTAAGTACATCTGTTTGCAAGCCTTCCTAGTTTTTTTGTAAATCCAGAAACTCTGATTGGCTTTAAATGGTCTAACTGACCCCTGTTAACACTGGCTGACAGGCTGATGCATGGACTCTGTCAAATATTAATACTCCTGAATTATAAATGCTCATGTGCTCTATATGAAATTGTTGGTTTGTGGTTTGGTAATTAAGCTGCAGCTGGCTATAATCCTCCGTTGGGCTGACCATAGGTCACCTATAAATACCTCTGCTGCTTGGACAATCATTAACTGAGGTTCTCTGCGCTGTACTCCATGTCTCTGTGTTTTAACATTGCAGCTGGAAAAATATGCTGACAGTCAGCAAAATGCAAAAAGGAATAGAAAAAATGTGTCAAACTAAAGACGTTATAGAGTTAATTTGATCATTAACAGCACTGTTAACAATTGTTGGAACCAAATATGAATAGAACTGACTGATGTCATGTGTAGAGCAGGTTTTGTATTAGCTTTTTGGGGGAAGAGAGTTTGTTGATTGGGAGAGTCATCATCATCATCATCCCTAAAGCTGTTTTTACACATGAACACACAGGATGTTCAGGATAACATGTGGACAATTTAGTCCAAACTTTTTCCACAGTTGCTGTCTGCACATGGCTTAAGGGAAGAAGGAGATGTTCTGTTGGAGATATGTCACTACAGCTGGAAACACGAGGGAGCTTCCATCTGAGCACACAAGAGAGAGGACACGATGCGGAAAGTGCAGCATGGTAATCTCTGCCTTTTAAACCGATTGAGAGTAGCAGATGAGTCTTTGTGTTAACATTATTACCACATGTAACTGAATATTTTCACAATATTGAGGGGGGGAAAGGATCTCAGTGGGCTGCAGCAGATCTCAATTTTCACGTGAAAAGCTTGTACTCTTTCAGTTTGAATTGTGAACATGTTCAAAAAATGTTTGCAGCAAACTTTCTCTGAAAATAGTCACAATTTTGTCACAGCTGTCTCCAGTTCATCGCATAAGTGCTGGAGCTTTATTTTGACGTGCACGAAAATGTTCTTCTTATAAGAAACATAACATGGTCTAAACACCAAGTCGTAATTATTTAAATTCATGGAAAAATTGTCCCAAATCTTCCTATCTTTGTTTAAAACTATAGTCCAGTATATTAAATTGTAAATGTGGAGGCTGCTGAGGTGGGTACACTGTGAGCAGAGGTAGGCAACAAAATAATGTGCCTGGACTGGCATACAGTTGTTATGCACACACAAAAAATAATTAATTTTAAAAAGTGTGTCTGCTCAAAATGCAGCCACACCATTTGCTATTTGCATATATTCAGAATTCAGTGAAGTTGTAGTTGACAAATAACCTATGTTCTGGTAACTTTCATACAGTTTGGAGTCATAAACGAGTACAACCTTAAACATGTCTCATATGCTTGTTTCACTACAAAACAAAGGTAAATGAACAAAAGCAAACAATATGAATACATCTCTAAATATTTGATAAGTTAGTATAACATTAAGTAGTTAAACATGATTTTTTTTTTTTTTTTTTCAAACAAATATCATTTGGGATATTGTGAGTGGGAAATGATACTGGGAACCGTTTTTCTTCTTGTGCAAAGTTAGAAGCAGAGGGTTTCAAAATTTAGCTTAAGCAGAGCATCTACCAAAATGGTGTATTTTTGTTGTTTTGTTTTTCTGACAAATAATAGCCAAACTGTTGTGTTGCCCTAAATGTTTAATTATATTCTATTGTCAAAAATGTCTGCATTTATTTGCAGAGCTGCATAGTGGTAAGAGCTGGGCTTCAAGTGGAACTATAAAAGGAAAGTCTCCTGAGTTAGTTCTTCTTACCTGCCACTGGCATCACTGAAAAAGGACAGGTTATGCTTTGAAAAGTTTATTTTTCTTCTCCTCTGGTGCATTATTTAATTGTTTTGTGAATGTAAAACATCTGCTAAGTTAAGGAGGAACAGTGTGAATGTCATGCATTCTGTTCAGATTTTGTTATTCCATTCTTACTGTTTTGGCTATGATGAACTTCATATGAAACTAAAAACAGAGTATGCATTTTTAAATGGTAAATGGACTGTACGTATATATACTTATATAGCACTTTTCTATCTGATCAAGATACTCAAAGCGCTTTACACTACAATCTGTGTCCTCTTTTACTCATTCATACAGCACTCTACTAGATCTCTAACAAATCATTCTAAAGAGACTAATCAGTGCTTTATCACATCCATACACCAATGGGACACACATCAGAGGAAATGAGGGGTTCAGTGTCTTGCCCAGGGACACTTGTGCATGTGACTGCTGGTGGATTCGAACACCCAACTCTTGCATTGGAGGACGACTGCTCTAACCACTCAGCCACAGCCGCCCCGTTTTCAAAAACAGGTATTGAATCAAATAATGTTAGATTTTCCAGGAGGCAGGCCTTAAAGGAACAGGAACAGCTGAGGAGCTTCTGACAAGTAATAAAAAGGACTTGTGCTACAGAACAAGTTCTTTACTGCTCCAAATTGTAAACTCCATCCAGACATCCATCCATTATCTTCATCTGGTTCTTCCTTTTCAGGTCATGGGGGGCCACTGGTGCTATTCAGCAGTCACTGTGCAATAGGCAGGGGACACCCTGGACATGTCTCAAGTTCATCACAGGGACTCAAAGAGACAAACGAGTCAAACAACAATTCACTCTCTCACTCACACCTAGAGACAATCTAGAGTTACCAATCAGCCTAACATGCATGTTTTTGGTCTGTGGGAGGAAATCGAGAGTACCTTGAGAAAACCTATAAACGCACGGTGAGAACATGCAAACTCCGCCCAGAAAGGTCCCTGACCGGGATTTGAACCGGCAATCTTCTCGCTGAGAGGCAACAGCTCTACCAACTGATTCACTGTGCCCCCCTCAAGTTATAAACTTGTAAGTAAAAATAATAAAGAATAATAATATTAATGTTATTATACACATTTTAATATTTGCCTCAGACTTGCAAAAATACACAGTATTTTGTTATGTGTCAAAGATAATTACTTAAAATAAAAAAACAAGTTTAACAGAAAGTATGGAAAAAAGAAGCAATGCACTCATCAGACTCTTTGCAATACATTTAAGTGTTTGCACTCATACAGATAATATATATGTATAGATTCCTGAAAAATAAAGCACATGAACCTACTTTTTAAAGAACAGCAATAAATAACCTACATTCATGAACTTTAAATGAGGTTAAATTGTTTGTTGATCTCCCAAATTTTCCACAATCTCAATAATAGGTCATTAGCCTATTTCCTCTTTAAATGAGTCCTCGTGACTCATTGAGTCTAACCTGTATAAATAAAGGTTGAATGAATAAAAAATTAGCCCAGCTTTATAAGAAAGGTGTTTTTGTTTACCTGTACGAGAGACAGTTGTGAAAGCAAGCTGCCCTCTGTGACTCTTCAGTCTTTTTTGACCCCAGTAGGCCACCGTCTGGACAGACAGGAGGTAGGAAGTGGCAGGAAGCAGGCCCTGCAGCCACAGCTCACTCTGAGCCTATAACACAATAATAAACACAGTTTAATTTTATTATTTTTGTAGAAACACATTGTTTACTGTAGTTTTGTAATAATTTTCCTCCTTTTTTTTATTAATGGTGCTTGCACCACATGGAGCTGGACTGGACTCTCAATTAAACCATTAATGACACAAAAAATAACTCATGCTTGTTTTCAAAACTGATATCACCAAGAATTATTTTTAAAATATAGCGTTTTTGTTCAAACTTTCTGGCTCCCCCAATAAAGAAACCGAACTGCCACCATCACCATCCTCGCTGTCAATCAAATTTGTTACATCATCATGCTGAGTGTATGTCATCATTTGTGACCAATACTCGAGGCCTGTTCTGCATTAGTCTGCTGGTTGACTGGCAGCTCATTAACAGGCCCTCGGTCAATCAGCTCTATCTCTGTGGACCTCAGCTAGCCACAACAAAGATGCTTGAAGGATAAATGTGTGTGTAAGTGTGTGTTTGGATAAGAGAGGCAAAAGCAAGTTAAAAGCTGTTTTCTCAATGCGCTTCAGACAAAGCAGGGTTGTAGTTTTCATTACCCACAAAAAAAGACAATTGTGTGGTCTGTACAATTATATAAGTGTATTGTAACAGAAAGCAACTAAAGCTTGGGTTTTTGTTTTGGTGCATAATGTCAGTGGACATTAAACATTAAAAAATTACATTTAAAAGCACTTGTTTTTCCTCCATATTTCATAATTTCTGCTAAATTCCCTCTTTGCCATCACATTTACTGTAATGTGACAGATGTCCATCCCACAAAAATGTGCAACTTAAATATACTGTATATGTATATACTGTACACACTTCACATTTAAGAAATACTGAGCTAAAGTGAAGCAAAAACCTTATTTATGCTTTCCATGATATGAGAGACATTTGAAACTGTAAAACTAAGTCGTTCTGCCTCTTCATACCGTTTGTGATGCTGTTGTTTGTGTTTCTACATGCAGCTGCAAGAAGGAAACACCAGTTAGGGGGCCTGATTTAAATTCCAGACCTCCCAGCCATGCAGAACAGAGGACCAGACTACAGATAAATGGCTCCACCAGGCATGGTCTGGGCTCTCCATCACTCCTTAGGATAGCTGGGTCCATATGAGCGTGTCTGCATGTAACCTCAGTAAATTGAAAAATGTTTTTATCTTGAAGTAAATAATAATCCTTAGAGAGCTGAAACCTTCCTTTATTGTGTTTCATTATCCATTTATTTATGCCAATTAGTGAGCAAAATCAAAGGTTTGTGCAGAGCATCGGTGATTTTCTTCAAAGTTTTCCGTGTTGCTTATAATGATTATGAGTATTTTGATGTTGGACTTAGCAGCTTTGCAATTGTTTTTCATCAGACCTATAATCAGGGTAACAAAAGCCTCCCATTTTAAGAGCAATTGTTGCGCAAATAACCATTCTTAAACTAAAGTAAAAACAAAAAAGACTAGCTGAGTTGGGCAACAGTGACACCACGAATTGTTTTGCAACATGCATCTTAATACCTCATCACTCTCCTGGTCTCATGCTTCTCATAGCAGAGAAAATTGTACTGGCAGCTTCAGTACTGCATGAACATCGGAAAAACAGTTATACAGTATACCACTTCCCTTAGACTGGTCCAGTTTTTAAGCCAAGCTAACAGCTACACTCAACACAAATGCCCTCATGCAGCACTGAGTGGCATGTTGTCAGTGCATTTCCAGATGCTTTGAGTTAAATTTGTTATTCAAATGCAGGAAAGCTACTTCTCTCAGTTGTCAGTCTATATGGCTATGCTGTCAGAAGTTATTACTGTGCCACGGTGTCAGACGTGCATAATGTCACAGCACTTAAACAGCTACGTTCTACAAGGTTCATGCTGAATTCATCTTAGGAATATTTTTGTATTTTAAACTCAGCAAAGTGCAAATGCAAAACATCTGCAGAAGACTTCAGTAAGTGTGTAGTACACAGCATTTTCCAAGTGAATATGCAGTTTTTTTTTAGTAGTAGTACTGTTGCTGTTTTGTTGTTGTTGTTGCTAAAATTAGAAACATTGTATCTAAAAATGATGCAGAAAAACTGCATTTGTCACATCTAGACTGGACTATTGCAATGGTTTGTTGTCTGGGTGTCTAAAAACTTCTTTAAAAAGTCTTCAGTTGATCCAAAATGCTGCAGAGTCTTAACTGGAGTTAGTAGGAGAGATCATATCTCTCCAGTTTTAGCTTCTCTCCATTGGCTCCCTGTCAAATCCAGAATACTTCTAACCTACAAAGCTCTCAACAACCTAGCTCCATCTTATATTACAGACCTTGTTGTTCCATATTCTCCGAACAGAGCACTTTGCTCTCAGACTGCAGGCTTACTCGTGGTTCAAAGAGTTTCCAAGAGCAGAACAGGAGGAAGTTATTTCAGTTATCAGGCTCCTCTCTTGTGGAACCAACTTCCAGTTTCTGTCCGTGAGGCTGACACATTGTCCAGTTTAAAGACTGGGCTTAACACTTTCCTTTTTGATAAATCCTATAATTAGGGTTAGCTTGTTATGCTGCCTTAAGTTTAGAATACTGTAGAAGACAAATTGATCATTTTTTAATTACCTTTGACCTCATTTCCTTAAATGAATTGTTAAACTTGAATAGTTTTCATTTGATACTATTTCTATCTTAACGTGATTCTTGACCTGCCATTGTGTATCTGTTCCTCTCAAACCCAGCCGGTAGAAGCAGATGGCCGATTGTTCTGAGCCTGGTTCTGCTAAAAGTTTCTTCCTCATGAGGGAGTTTTTCCTTTCCACTGTCGCCTTCATGCTTGCGTAAGATGAGAGTTTGTGATGGAGTTAAATTCAAAGCAGTCTGCTCCTCAGATAAATAATGTTAAATTATTATTTTTATATATGAATGTTTCTGTTCAGTGTCCTGAGACGACTTCTGTTGTGACTTGGCGCTTTATAAATAAACTGAATTGAATTGTTGTTAATAATAATAATAATATTAATAATAATGCATTCCATTTATAAAGCATGTTGCATTTGTAAACCTGAAAATGCTTCATTTCAAGAGTCATAACAATAAACAATGTTATTAACTTGCTTTTTATGTATATGAATGTTTCTGTTCAGTGCCCTGAGAAGACTTCTGTTGAGACTTGGCGCTAAATAAATAAACTGAATTGAATTGAATCAAATTCATAAAAAAACTACATAAAGAATAACAATAAACACCTCTAAAATCCGTTATTTATATATCTATATTTAAAATGTGAAAACCACCATTTGACGCTGTAAGTTTCATTTGAATCACCTTTAGTGGTATGTACAGCCTGCACATGTTTGTCCTCCTGCCGTGTCTCATTTTTTGCTCATTATTTAAATCCACATCCTGCCTCGTGATGTCAGAAAAGCTCCTCTGCGTCTCCATCCAAGTCTCATTTGTGAGATTTTTTATGGGCCTCACTGGGTTAAGCAGGACATTGTTTAAGTTGAAGGATTATATCATGTCTAATTTTTAAAATTGATGTAAGAGAGTGGTAAATGTAAGATCCATATGTAGCTGAGTGTGTGTGTGTGTTGTTGCTTCCTGTTCATTCTTATGAATCCACAGTCCCATTTAGAACAGCTGGCGAACTATACTTGCAAAATGAAAATGAAGTGTAATGCAGAGGATAAATGTGTGATTATTTTGAAACTGACACCACCAGTACATCTCAAAAAGTTGGAATGGGACCAAATTTACCACTGTAAATCATAATGAAGAGGCTGTTACAGACAAATAATAAAAACAACCTTTCTTACGGTTATATTAAGGTCATAGAATAAGACAGCTGTTCTACAACTAAACCACAAATACACTTATAGCTGTGATGTGGGTTTGCAGCACTTAAACTCATGGAGTGTGTGATATATTTATCATCCAGATAACAGGATTTAAAACCAAACATTTACTCATTTTAGGAGTTATTCTGTAAAAAAAAAGTTTTTTTTAAAAAGCTTAAAATAACAAACATGAATTAATAGCTGATTAAGCTCTAGTTTCACTTTAAAGATATTCCTATAAACAATTGCAGACATTGTGCCCATTTAAAATGTCTACATTTCAAACGTCTGTTCTTTTGCCTTATAAAGTCATGAAAAATGATTCTTGTTTCATTTTGTTTTGACTTTTACCTTTTTGAATATTGGGCTGTGGCTCCAAATATGCAGTTGAACTCACAGAATAAAATCATATTAAATTAGTAGTTTTAGTTTACATCAAATGGCAGAATCTCTTCTGACTTGAGCGCAGCATTTTCCTGTAAGTCGCTAACGTCACAACAAGCAAGATGGGTCTTTGTGCACGTGTGTGTGAATGGGTTTACATAGTAAAACTCCTCAGGTGCAGCAACACATCTTGTAAATTTAAAGCGTGTGTGTTGTACTTTCAGACCACTTAAGATTTGGTGGTTCTTACACTTACTGAACACCTGATAGTTTTACAAAATGGATCAAAACACTTGGATCTGTCATGTTGACTCATAAAATTATGAAGGAAGATGAAAATGAGCTCGACTTTCGGTCAATCAAACATGAACTTGCACCTGTAGCTAGAAGTGTTCCCTAAAATGGAACTCCTACGTTTCTTTTCCATTTTAGTGTGTAGGATTATGCTAAATGTGCCAGGCAAATGTTTTGGGAATGATGGAGATGTGTGTGAGTAAATCAAGACCACTTTAACAATAATGACGTAGGACCTTGAAGAGGAATGTGCTTTTTTATTGTCTTCAAAGTCACTCGGCGTTATGTCTTTATCAGGATTCTAAGCAACTAACTAACTAAATAAATGACTAACTAACTTGCCAATAACTAATATATTGCTTTGTGTCAGTGCAAAATTATATTTAACCTAAAAAAATGAATGTTAAACAAAAAAGCCCCTTTAAATTTAAGTACATTCAATAACTTCAACAGAACCATAATTAGCAATAATTTTGGTGAAATTCAGCCCACTTTTCTCCACAGTGTTTTCATTATGATATACATGTTTTTATGCTCAGCCCTCTTAAGGTTCTGTAACAACATTTTAGACAGGTTAATACTAGATGAGTGGGCATTAAGAGTGTTTTGCTTGAAATGTCCATCTGTGTATCCAGGCAATACATGAAAATATGTAAATCCTACCAGCTTCTCAGGTCAGAGGTGAAGAATGAGCATGACAGCAATAACTTCAGAGTATTAACTTCAGGATTAAAATCAATCTGACAGCAACAATTAAAAACTGTATAATTTTTGCAGTAATAAGTAGGTAGACGGTGTTCTTACCCCTCGAGTCAGCATGCTGTTGGTCTCTTTTTTACTCTGTTCGTGTGCAGGTTTCATGTGCACTGCATGTGTTTGAAATCTGTGTTTAAAAGTTGTTCCTGTATGTTGAGACATCCAGGTGATTCTATAGTTGTGAACAGGTAAGTCTCCCTCTCTGGGGGGATCCCAGTGTAATAAGACTGCCACTGTGGGCCCACTTCCAAGTGACCTGGAGAGAAAACGCTGCAAGTCAAACATCATCAACAAATAAACGTACCGTATTTTTCAGACTATAAGGCGCACTTAAAATCCTTTAATTGTCTCAAAAATCAACAGTGAGCCTTATAAACCATCCATCCATCCATTATCTTTTACCGTTTATCTTTTGGGTTACGGGGGTCGTCGATGCCCATGTCCAGCAATCTACGTGCGAGGGGCAGGGTACACCCTGGACAGGTCGCAAGTCCATCGCAGGGCCCCTTATAAACCGGTGCGGCTTATGTATTAATTCTGGTTGTGCTTACTGATCTCGAACAGATTTTATGTGGTACACAGCGCTCAAAAATCTGTCAAAATGTTTTAGTTTCACTTAATGCGCCTTTTAATCCAAAAAATACGGTAAACAAAGTCATAATAATAATATTGAAGCAGACAGTGCAGGGTTTCCCCCAACAGTCATTCAGATGTAGATGTGGCAGATTCTTTGTTTGTGAGCTGCTTTCAGTCGTGGCGTCACAATCTTCCTTTTACTCTAAGTACAGTAGAGGCATCTAATTTACATCATGATGGGAGCCAGCTATTAGATCATCACTTCTGTTATTAGGACATCCAAGACATGACCTGACCTTTATGTGACCTCAGAAAAAGAAAAACACTGCAGTATATACACAAAGTTTGTTTTCTCAGTCATCCAGGTATATAACAACAAAAAGGTTGAATCATGTCATCTGGACTTCGTTTTTTTGTTAAAAAAGAAACGTTTCGCCCCTCATCCAAAGGGCTTCGTCAGTCTGAGGCCTAGCCATCTGGTATTACCCAGAAGCCACCCTGACTCTTGTGTTTCAAGCCTGCCTCAGATACCCCTGAAGTCTGGCCTTTTCACTAATGGTTTCAAAAACACAAAGTTTGTTTTCTCAGTCATCCAGGTATATAACAACAAAAAGGTTGAATCATGTCATC